TTTTGGCTTGGAACAGAATCAAAGAGGAGCACTGGGGCTACACCATCACCAAACTCTTACACACAGTGGAGGAGAGTAATCTGACCTTGCCCAGGAATTATTAAATAACAACTGAGATTGAGATCAAAGAGAGTGAAATTGGTAAGAAGACCACAATCGTGTCTCTTACATCTGACTCCAACACCCAAAGCTTTTCAACACCCACTTTTGACCTTAGCCATTTTGATTGTATAAAATACGTTCTGCAGATAATTCCTGTATGCTTAATTGTTAGACAAGGTCAATGATTGATTTTGTAAGGTATGATGCTATATAGATATATTTTTTGTATTTTATTTTTACCTTTATTTTAGCAGGGAGTCACCATTGAGACCAGTGTATCTTTTTCAAGGGAGCCCTGCATATACAATTTCATAGAATAAAAATATCTAATATAATATAAAACAAGTAAAATACTCACAACACAAATTGCAGAGACAAACATAAATATACACAATATACACAAAACACAATCAACAAAAACAAAAACATTCTTCATTATAAAATTCCTCTGTCCACTCTCTAAACTGCCCCAGGGACACTAAGGCATCTATATGTACTGTTTTTGGGGAGATTATTCCAAACAAAAACTAAAGTTCGATTTACCTAACTCTGATGACACCAAAGGTCTCCAGAGTTAACCAAACCTGTGAACTGGTTTTGGTAACTTGTCATTTCAAATCTTAATAGTGAAGTTAGGTAAGTCGGAAGCTTGTGGAGCAGGGCTTTGTAAACAAAAAGAGTGTAACGATGTGATCTACGTGACTTCAAGGAGGTTCAGCCAACCTTTTGGTAAAGAATATAGTGATGAGTAATAAAACTGTCTCCTGTGATAAAACGAAGGGCGCTATGAAGAACAGGTAGAAAGGTTGACTGCACAATTTGCTTCCTGCTGACTACAGAGAGACAAGATCTGTTTCTGTAAAAAAAAGCCCACTTTAAATCTTAGTTTCATAACAAGCTCATTTGTTTGTTTTTTAAACAATAAATCATTGTCAATCCAAATACCAAGGTATTTGTATGTAGAGACTCGTTCCATTTTATAACCATCCAATGAGTGAAGATGTAATCCATCTGAGACCATTTTATGAGAGTTAAAGTTAGTTTTATGCTGAAAAGTGTAATCTAGGTTTTTGGAAATGTGTTCTTCATTGACACAGATGCTGTATCAATCAAATTATTATTATTCCACTCAACTGAATAATTTCTGTTCTTTCACATACAGTGCCTTCAGAAAGTATTAATTCCCCTTAACTTATTCCAAATTTTGTTGTGTTACAGCCTGCATTCAAAATGGATTCTATACATTTTTTTTTCTCTCACCCACAATACCCCATCATTTTTTAAACATTGATTGAAAATGAAATACAGAAATATGTCATTTACATACGTTTTCACACCTCTTTGCTATGACACTCCAAATTGAGCTCAGGTTTATCCAGTTTCCTTTGATCATCCTTGAGCTGTCACTACAACTTGATTGGAGTCCACCTGTGGCCAATTCAATTGTCTGAACATGATTTAGAAAGAAACACACCTGCTTATATAAGGTCCCACAGTTGACAATGCATGTCAGAGCAGAAACTATACCATGAAGTCCAAGGAACTGTCGATAGATCTCCAAGATAGAATTGTGATGAGGCATTTCTCTGGGTATAAAACAACTTCTAGAGTGTTGAACGTTTCCAAGAGCACAGTGGTCTCCATCATTGGGAAATTGAAAAAATTGACTCTGCCTAGAGCTGGCCGTCCAACCAAATTGACCTTGGTCAGGGAGGTGACCAAGAACCCAACAACCACTTTGCCAGAACTACAGAATTCCTTGGCTGAGATTGGAGAAACTGCCAGAAGGACAACAGTCTCTACAGCACTTCACCAATCAGGACTTTATGGGAGAATGGGAGAGTGGCCAGATGGAAGCCCCTCCTGAGAAAAAGCCACATAACAGCATGTCTGGAGTTTGCAAAAAGGCACATGAAAGACTGAGATCATAAGGCAAAATATTCTGTGTCTGATGAGACAAAAATTGTACTCTTTGGCCTGAATGCAAAGTGCTATTTCTGGAGAAAACCAGGCGCAGCTCATCACCCGTCTAACACCATCCCAACCATGAAGCATGCTGGTGGCATCATCATGCTATGGGGATGCTTTTTAGTGACAGGGACTGGCAGACTGATAAGGATAGAGGGAACAATGAATGGAGCCAAATACAGGTAAATCCTTGATGAGAACCTGCTTCAGAGTGCAAACAACCTTAGACTGGGGCGAAGATTTCCATTCCAACAGGACAATGACTCCAAGCATACAGCCAAAGCAACACTGGAATGGCTTCAGAACAAGAATGTGAAAGTCCTTGAGTGGCCCAGCCAAAGCCCAGACTTGAATGCCACTCCCCATCTAATTTAACAGAGCTTGAGAAAATATGCAAGGAAGAATGGGAGAAAATCCCCAAATGTGCAAAGCTGATACAGACATAACCAAGACGACTCAATGATGTAATCGCTGCCAAAAGTGCTTCTACAAATTATTGACTCGGGTGTGAATACTTATGTAAATGAGTATTTCTGTATTTAATTTTCAATACATTTACAAACATTTCTCAAAACGTGTTCACCTCGTCATTATGGTGTATTGTGTGTAAATGGGTGAGAAAAATAAAATATTTAATTAATTTTGAATTCAGCCTGCAACACAACAATGTGGAATAATTCAAGGGGTATGAAAGCTTTCTGAAGGCACTGTACAGAAATGAAACTCTACACTTTTGATGTCCGTCAAACAATGACAACCAAGCTGTCTGTCTTCATAGGAGGAGATCGTATCAATTTAAATCCAAAAAAACAGGAGGGAAACAAAAATGGTAAGAGACCAGATAAAAGGGAAAACAATCACTATGACAACATTAAGGCATATTGTCAGCAGCAACAGATGCATTTACATGTGACAAGAATCCTATCAAAGTAACAAGTCAAATGTTGTTGTTATTTTGGGGGGAACCATTATACAGTGGGGGGGAAAAAAAATCAGCTACCAATTGTGCAAGTTCTCCCACTTAAAGAGAGAGAGAGAACTGTAATTTTCATCATAGGTACACGTCAACTATGACAGACAAAATGAGAAAAAAATTCCAGAAAATCACATTGTAGGATTTTTAATGAATTTATTTGCAAATTATGGTGGAAAATAAGTATTTGGTCAATAACAAAAGTTTCACAATACTTTGTTATATACCCTTTGTTGGCAATGACACAGGTCAAACGTTTTCTGTAAGTCTTCACAAGGTTTTCACACACTGTTGCTGGTATTTTGGCCCATTCCTCCATGCAGATCTCCTCTAGAGCAGTGATGTTTTGGGGCTGTCGCTGGGCAACACGGACTTTCAACTCCCTCCAAAGATTTTCTATGGGGTTGAGATCTGGAGACTGGCTAGGCCACTCAAGGACCTTGAAATTCTTCTTACGAAGCCACTCCTTCGTTGCCCGGGCGGTGTGTTTGGGATCATTGTCATGCTGAAAGACCCAGCCACGTTTCATCTTCAATGCCCTTGCTGATGGAAGGAGGTTTTCACTCAAAATCTCACGATACATGGCCCCATTCATTCTTTCCTTTACACGGATCAGTTGTCCTGGTCCCTTTGCAGAAAAACAGCCCCAAAGCATGATGTTTCCACCCCCATGCTTCACAGTAGGTATGGTGTTCTTTGGATGCAACTCAGCATTCTTTGTCCTCCAAACACGACGAGTTGAGTTTTTACCAAAAAGTTATATTTTGGTTTCATCTGACCATATGACATTCTCCCAATCCTCTTCTGGATCATCCAAATGCACTCTAGCAAACTTCAGACGGGCCTGGACATGTACTGGCTTAAGCAGGGGGGCACGTCTGGCACTGCAGGATTTGAGTCCCTGGCGGCGTAGTGTGTTACTGATGGTAGGCTTTGTTACTTTGGTCCCAGCTCTCTGCAGGTCATTCACTAGGTCCCCCCGTGTGGTTCTGGGATTTTTGCTCACCGTTCTTGTGATCATTTTGACCCCACGGGGTGAGATCTTGCGTGGAGCCCCAGATCGAGGGAGATATCAGTGGTCTTGTATGTCTTCCATTTCCTAATAATTGCTCCCACAGTTGATTTCTTCAAACCAAGCTGCTTACCTATTGCAGATTCATTCTTCCCAGCCTGGTGCAGGTCTACAATTTTGTTTCCGGTGTCCTTTGACAGCTCTTTTTTTCTTGGCTATAGTGGAGTTTGGAGTGTGACTGTTTGATGTTGTGGACAGGTGTCTTTTATACTGATAAGTTCAAACAGGTGCCATTAATACAGGTAACGAGTGGAGGACAGAGGAGCCTCTTAAAGAAGAAGTTACAGGTCTGTGAGAGCCAGAAATCTTGCTTGTTTGTAGGTGACCAAATACTTATTTTCCACCATAATTTGCAAATAAATTCATTAAAAATCCTACAATGTGATTTTCTGGGAAAAAAATTCTCAATTTGTCTGTCATAGTTGATGTGTACCTATGATGAAAATTACAGGCCTCTCTCATCTTTTTACGTGGGAGAACTTGCACAATTGGTGGCTGACTAAATACTTATTTTCCCCACTGTATGTACTTTGTGCATTTAGCACAATTTGTGCATTCAAATAATGTCAAAGTTGTTGAAATATAAACAATTCTTTGTAATAGACAATATGTGAGTTTCATAAAGCACATATTATTATTGTCCATTTCAGATCACTGTTTATTTTTCCTGAATTCCCTCCTTTTGCATGTCAGACTGACCACTGTCACCGGTCACTGGTTACACTCGTCTGACACACCTTTGCCCCCTTGTTACTTTATGTCCCTCATTGTTGCCAAATATGTGCTGTGCAGACACTGGGTCATGTACTCGTTTAGCCATTGTGAACACAGCATTGCATATAAAATAAAACGTTGAGCTGCAGGATCCCACTCCTGGATTTCACCATGTGGGGGTTTGTTCTTTGTCTCCTTGTGGCCTTGGCCGGTAAGTGTAGCTGAGAAGCAAAAATATAGAAAATATTTTATTGAGCTAATTATGACACTGGTTTTGATTATATATTCATTTTTTCATTTCAGCATGTAACAATATCAGTTATGGTGAGTTTGTTATCCAGCGATTTGAAATGTGTCATTTAAACCTAACCTTGCATTCAAATGAGCATTTATTCATAAATAATGGTATATCAATGATGTATTGTAGAGCCTGGCTTGAACCCTAAGAAAACCTATGAGTACAAATATGAGGGAATGGTGACTATTGGGCGTGGCATGCCAAACCTTGCAGAGTCTGGTGTGAGACTCATGTGCAAAGTCAAGATCATTGGTGTGTCTGCACAAACATACCTTCTCCAGGTATGCATTCAATTAAAATGACCAATGCGAGGTACTTCATAGGCATTTAGCTCATATTTCAGAACAGAAATATACTGCATGTGTTATTTTAAGGATCTAAGTTTGTTTTGATTAAACTAATTTAAAAACTTCAATTAATCGTAAATAAACTAACAAGTAATTCTACCTGGTGATCCAATTATATTTTCTTGTTTTAAGGTTTCAAACTTGAACTTCGAGGAGTTCAATGGCATTCCAGGGAAGAATGCATTTGATGCCTCACCAAAGCTTACCAAACGGATTGCTGCCGAGCTCAGCAAACCCTTCATGTTCGAGTACGCCAAGGCACGGGTTGGTGACATTCGCACCTCTGCTGAAATATCTGACACCATTGTCAATATTGTGAGAGGCATACTTGGGTTCTTCCAAGTCACAGTCAAGACCACCCAAAGAGTGTATGAGCTTGAGGAGGTAACTAAAACAGGTTTTACATAAACAATACTTACAGTATGTAATATTGCATTTTCATCTGTAAAGAAATTGCAGAGAGCATTGTTAATGTGAGGTTTTTCTACGTATTTGTTACCAGTTCGGGATCCATGGATTGTGCCAGAGTACCTATGCCATTGAGGAGGATGCCAACTCCCAAGAATTGTCAGTCACCCAAATTGTTGACATTAATAACTGCAAAGAAAAGGCAGCCATTTACAGAGGAATGGCCCTAGCTGTCGACGACAAACTCTCCAAAGAGGTTTGTCTTTCCTATCCATAGACCTATATGTGAACATGCACAATTCTATTTAAAATAGTATTCAGTGCCAAGACTACAGAGAATATCACAGTACAGTTGAAGTCGGAAGTTTACATACACTTAGGTTGGAGTCATTAAAACTCGTTTTTCAACCACTCCACAAATTTCTTGTTAACAAACTATAGTTTTGGCAAGTCGGTTAGGACATCTACTTTGTGCATGACACAAGTAATTTTTCCAACAATTGTTTACAGACAGATTATTTCACTTATAAATCACTGTATCACAATTCCAGTGGGTCAGAAGTTTACATACACTAAGTTGACAGTGCCTTTAAACAGCCTGGAAAATTCCAGAAAATGATGTCATGGCTTTAGAAGCTTGTGATAGGCTAATTGACATAATTTGAGTCAATTGGAGGTGTACCTGTGGATGTATTTCAAACTCAGTGCCTCTTTGCTTGACATCATGGGAAAATCTAAGGAAATCAGCCAAGACCTCAGAAAAAACTATTATAGACCTCCACAAATCTGGTTCATCCTTGGGAGCAATTTGCAAATTCCTGAAGGTACCAAGTTCATCTGTACAAACAATAGTACGCAATTATAAACACCATGGGACCATGCAGCCATCATACTGCTAAGGAAGGAGACGCGTTCTGTCTCCTAGAGATGAACGTACTTTGGTATGAAAAGTGCAAATCAATCCCAGAACAACAGCAAAGGACCTTGTGAAGATGCTGGAGGAAACATGTACAAAATTATCTATATCCACAGTAAAACGAGTCCTATATCGACATAACCTGAAAGTCCGCTCATCAAGGAAGAAGCCACTGCTACAAAACCGCCATAAAAAAGCCAGACTACGGTTTGCAACTGCACATGGAGACAAATATCATACTTTTTGGATTAATGTCCTCTGGTCTGATTAAAGAAAAATAGAACTGTTTGGCCATAATGACCATCGTTATGTTTGTAGGAAAAAGGGGAACGCTTGCAAGCCGAAGAACACCATCACAACTGTGAAGCACGAGAGTGGCAGCATCATGCTGTGGGGGTGCTTTGCTGCAGGAGGGACTGGTGCACTTCACAAAATAGATGGCATCATGAGGAAGGAAAATTAGGTGGATATATTGAAGCAACATCTCAAGACGTTAGTCAGGAAGTTAAAGCTTGGTCGCAAATGGGTCTTCCAAATGGACAATGACCCCAAGCATACTTCCAAAGTTATGACAAAATGGCTTAACGACAACAAAATCAAGGTATTGGAATGGCCATCACAAAGCCCTGACCTCATTCCTATATAAATGTGTGGGCAGAACTGAAAAAGCATGTGCGAGCAAGGAGGCCTACAAACCTGACTCAGTTACTCCAGCTCTGTCAGGAGGAATGGGCCAAAATTCACCCAACTTATTGTGGGAAGCTTGTGGAAGGCTACCCGAAACGTTTGACCCAAGTTAAACAATTTAAAGGCAATGCTACCAAATACTAATTGAGTGTATGTAAACTTCTGATCCACTGGGAATGTGATGAAAGAAATAAAAGCTGAAATAAATAATTATAAATAATAATTATTCTGACATTTCACATTCTTAAAATAAAGTGGTGATCCTAACTGACCTAAGACAGGGAATTTTTACTAGGATTAAATGTCAGGAATTGAGAAAAACTGAGTTTAAATGTATTTGACTAAGATGTATGTAAACTTCCGACTTCAACTGTAAATAGTACATTTTAACAGTCACTCACTTTCAATCCTTTTTGTATTCCTTTACGTCATCTAGAGAGGTGACTCTGTCATTTCAACAGTGAGATATGTCTACACAGTGAAACCAACAGTTGACGGAGGCCTGATCAAGAAGGCTCATGCCTTGGAGCACCAGCATTTCTCCCCATTCAACGTGAAAGGGGGCAACTCCAAACTGCAAGCCATGTATGACAAATCTCATTGTTTTCTTTCATTTCACTATATCAAATTGGGTGTCTGAAAATGAGAACCACATGTAGTTGGACTGGAAAGAGATGTCAGGGTTAGAGGCGTAATGACTAAGCAGGAGTTTAGTAAAAAAATAGATAAATAAAACATAAAAATATAAAATAATTAAAGAGCAGCAGTAAAATTGTCTCCCGAGTGGTGCAGTGGTCTAAGGCACTCTATCGCAGTGCTAGCTGTGCCACTAGAGATCCTGGTTTGAATCCAGGCTCTGCCGTAGCCGGCCTCGACCGGGAGACCCATGGAGCGACGCACAATTGGCCCAGCGTCGTCCAGGGTAGGGGAGGGAATGGCCGGCAGGGATGTAGCTCAGTTGGTAGAGCATGGCGTTTGCAACACCAGGGTTGTGGGTTCGATTTCCACGGAGGGCCAGTATAAAAAAAAGATATAAAAAAAATAATGTATGCACTCACTAACTGTAAGTCGCTCTGGATAAGAGCGTCTGCTAAATGACTAAAATGTAAAAAAAAAAACAACATATAGAATAATAGGTGAAAGTGGTTTATTTGCCATGTACACACTAAGGCTGCATTTACACAGGCAGCCCAACTCTGATCTTTTTTCACTAATTGGTATTTTGACCAATCAGATCTTTTGCCAATAATTGGGCAAACAATCAGAATTGGGCTTCCTTAGTGAAAACACAGCCTAACACTAGGTTATGTGAAGGAATGTCCAGAAGGAGAGGTTCAGACATGAGTTATAAGGCTGCATTTACACAGGTAGCCCAATTCTGCTCTTTTGCCCAATTATTGGAAAATGAGATGATCTAATTGGTCAAAAGACAAATTCTTGAAAATAAATGATAAGAATTTGGCTGCCTGTAAACGCAGCCTTAGATGAAGTGCAGCGAAGAGGTTCACTGAGAGGTTCTCAGTCTTGGGGCTACAGTGAGGAACAAACCATGATGACCAATTACCTGCCAGAGTTTGTATGTGTAAGGTGCTCTTCTTGTTGACGCTTCTTTAGGAAAGAGCTTGTGCTGCTCAGTGTAACTGACACAGTGGTGACCCCTGCTGTTGGTCCCGTGATTAGCCGAGGAAATCTGGTTTACAAGTTTGTGAAGGTGCTGGCCCAAATCCCCATTTTGATTAAGAAATTGGATGATCCAGTGCCCAAGGTAAACAACAGGGTATATCAACAATACTCAAAACCTACTTGCTCTAAAATTGTTTTTTCCTCAACCTGTCATGAAGATGTTTACGGCTCATGATTATTTGTAATATGCCACAAAAAAAACACATTGTTGTTCACAGATTGCAGAGATGATCAAACGTTTGGCCCAAGCGAACATCTACCAGACTGACAGTGCAACAAGTGAGGATGTTGTTGTTCTGTTCCAACTCCTGCGTGTGACATCGCTAGAAGACCACGAGGTTCTGTGGAAACAGCTCTCAGGGAATGATGAACACAGGTGCATATTCATGTTTATTTAATTTATATTCATAAATTATATGTATTTTTATATTCATTCAAACATTCTAAGGTTTCTATGGCAAACATTTCTATTTGAAGTGTAACATATGAAAGGATTGTTTGCTACGATGTGAGTTTTTTTATTGTCATCCTTATCCCTTGTCAGACGGTGGTTTTTGGACACGATTGTTGAAGTTGCAGACGCAAGAGTCCTCAAATTCCTGAAGAACAGATTCAAAGCCGGTGATGTATCAGCCAACGAGGCTGGACAAATGCTTCTGATCGCATTTAATCATGTAGCAACGGAGACTGACTTGATGGAGATGGCCAAGGTGAGTTGTCTTGGTTGGAAGTATTATTATTATTATACAGTAGAAAGACAAAGAGTACATTGTCCCTACATAGGCTTGTGGACCATTTCGCACATAATTTTCATACTAGATGACAAAATCATGTGGTCGATGTGATGTGCTCAGAGAGATTTATAATCTATCAATCGTCCCTCTGTAGGAGTTCCTGTCCATGCCCTTCAGTAAGTCCCACCCTATGCTGTGGAACACTGTGGTGCTGTCCTATGGATCACTGGTCTACAAGTACTGTGCCTATGAATATGGTCAGCCTTGCCCGGTGGCAGTTGTTCAGGTAATTAGCTACATTACCATTGCATTACTTACTGGTAAAGAAACCAAATGCATAGGCTATGTTCAAGTTTATTCTGGTTATATGGCAGAAGATGGTAGTGTGAATGTTATGACTACTGCTAAGTTAATATTGTGTAGCTTTGCTGTTGTACAGACTCTTTCTGTATAGATATTAGCTGCAAATCACTGCGGATTAGAGAATTCAAGATGTGACACGTCCGTTTCAAACAGCCCCTGTTGGACCTGGTGACCGATGGCCTGAAGAGAAACAGTGAGTTGGACATGGTGCTAGCCCTGAAAGCCATTGGGAATGCAGGCCACCCCTCCAGCATTAAGACCATCATGCGCTTCCTCCCTGGAGTGTCTGCCGCCCCTGTGACCCTCCCAGCCCGTGTGCTAAGTGCAGCCGTGCAGTCTCTGAGACACCTGGCTGTCAGAGAACCCCACAGCGTTAGTAGTAGTAGTAGTAGTAGTAGTAGTAGTAGCAGTACTAATTTAGTAGTAGTAGTAGTAGTAGTAGTAGTAGTTTGGTTTATTTCATTGTGTACACATTCCCAACTAAAAGCTAAATTCCAGTATACTAACAAGAAAATAAAAAAGGTGTCATGGATATTGTGGTTCTGGTGTCAGAGTTGAATTGGTGTCAATGCCATTTCGACCCAGTCACATTAGTACAGTGGGGAAAAAAAGTATTTAGTCAGCCACCAATTGTGCAAGTTCTCCCACTTAAAAAGATGAGAGAGGCCTGTAATTTTCATCATAGGTACACGTCAACTATGACAGACAAAATGAGGAAAAAAAATCCAGAAAATCACATTGTAGAATTTTTAATGAATTTATTTGCAAATTATGGTGGAAAATAAGTATTTGGTCAAAAACAAAAGTTTCTCAATACTTTGTTATATACCCTTTGTTGGCAATGACACAGGTCAAATGTTTTCTGTAAGTCTTCACAAGGTTTTCACACACTGTTGCTGGTATTTTGGCCCATTCCTCCATGCAGATCTCCTCTAGAGCAGTGATGTTTTGGGGCTGTCGCTGGGCAACACAGACTTTCAACTCCCTCCAAAAATTTTCTATGGGGTTGAGATCTGGAGACTGGCTAGGCCACTCCAGGACCTTGAAATGCTTCTTACGAAGCCACTCCTTCGTTGCCCGGGCGGTGAGTTTGGGATCATTGTCATGCTGAAAGACCCAGCCTCGTTTCATCTTCAATGCCCTTGCTGATGGAAGGAGGTTTTCACTCAAAATCTCACGATACATGGCCCCATTCATTCTTTCCTTTACACGGATCAGTCGTCCTGGTCCCTTTGCAGAAAAACAGCCCCAAAGCATGATGTTTCCACCCCCATGCTTCACAGTAGGTATGGTGTTCTTTGGATGCAACTCAGCATTCTTTGTCCTCCAAACACGACGAGTTGAGTTTTTACCAAAAAGTTATATTTTGGTTTCATCTGACCATATGACATTCTCCCAATCCTCTTCTGGATCATCCAAATGCACTCTAGCAAACTTCAGACGGGCCTGGACATGTACTGGCTTAAGCAGGGGGACACGTCTGGCACTGCAGGATTTGAGTCCCTGGTGGCCTAGTGTGTTACTGATGGTAGGCTTTGTTACTTTGGTCCCAGCTCTCTGCAGGTCATTCACTAGGTCCCCCCGTGAGGTTCTGGGATTTTTGCTCACCGTTCTTGTGATCATTTTGACCCCACGGGGTGAGATCTTGCGTGGAGCCCCAGATCGAGGGAGATTATCAGTGGTCTTGTATGTCTTCCATTTCCTAATAATTGCTCCCACAGTTGATTTCTTCAAACCAAGCTGCTTACCTATTGCAGATTCAGTCTTCCCAGCCTGGTGCAGGTCTACAATTTTGTTTCTGGTGTCCTTTGACAGCTCTTTGGTCTTGGCCATAGTGGAGTTTGGAGTGTGACTGTTTGAGGTTGTGGACAGGTGTCTTTTATACTGATAACAAGTTCAAACAGGTGCCATTAATACAGGTAACGAGTGGAGGACAGAGGAGCCTCTTAAAGAAGAAGTTACAGGTCTGTGAGAGCCAGACATCTTGCTTGTTTGTAGGTGACCAAATACTTATTTTCCACCATAATTTGCAAATACATTCATAAAAAATCCTACAATATGATTTTCTGGAAAAAAAAATCTCAATTTGTCTGTCATAGTTGACGTGTACCTATGATGAAAATTACAGGCCTCTTTCATCTTTTTAAGTGGGAGAACTTGCACAATTGGTGGCTGACTAAATAATTTTTTTCCCCACTGTATATCAAGTCATTTCCCAAAATGAAAATTAATTAAAGACCTCATAAAAAAATTTGCAACTGAGTTTCTATTGATTTACTCAATTGACTTTATATCAAATAAAATGATAACCAGTTGACATACAGTTGGATGTTGTATTAGTCCCAGTCTAATCTCTTTGATAATATGACTTTAGCTACAGTATGACTTACGTGTGTGCTTTCAGGTCCAGGACATCACAGTGAGCCTGTTTGTGCAGAGGCACCTTCCCACAGAGATACGTATGCTGGCCTGTATGATCCTGTTTGAAACTAAGCCACCTTTGGCTTTGGTGTCAACAGTGACTGCATTCCTATTGGAGGAGGCTGACATGCATGTGGCTAGCTTCTCTTACTCTCTCATTTGGAGCATTGCCAAATCCAGCACTCCGGACAACCACTTCCTGTGAGTGTTTCTGTCAGGGCACAGTGACATTTATTGTGTCAATGCTTCTGATTTTGCATTAAAACTGTGGCTGTTTTGTTATCTTTGTAAAAGCTCAACAGCCTGCAATGTCGCTGTGAAAATCCTGGCCCCTAAATTTGGTCGTATCAGTTACCACTACAGCAAAGCTATGCACCTCGATTGGTTTAATGGTAAGTTCAAAGGACCTGTAAGGGGCATGGGTTTACTTTGAGAACATACAGTATATGCAAGGCTGAGGAAACTGTTTTCTTCGCTCATCAGTAAAAAACGTTGACTAACCACATATCTCTTGAATATCCAGATGACTTCTTGATTGGTACAGCCACTGAGATCTTCATGCTGAAAAATGCTGCAAGCTACATCCCAACAGAAATAGTGACTAAAGGGAAATTCCATTTCATTGGCAAAATATTACAACTTGTGGAGGTAATCGGTAATGTTCATATTAATTGATTTGTACATGTTCTCCTGTTTCATGCTGAAATATTTTTTTGGGGACTATTGTTTGTGTCATACAGCTTGGTTTCCGTGCTGAAGGAATCAAGGAACTGTTTAGACAGAACATTCAAGTTTTTAACGGCCATCTCAGCTACACTGACTTTGAGGCCATATTCAAAGTGGTGAGTTCATGACTTTTCAAGACGCATACTGCACAGTTGCGGGCACAAAAATAGCCCTCAATGGTACTGTACCATCCCTTCAAACTCAACTTTATTCTATTGAATCATCTTCTTTCAGCTGCAAGATTGGCAGACATTGCCCGAGGATAAGCCTCTTTTGTCTGCCTATACACGAATCTTTGGTCAAGAGTTCTTCTTCGTGGATTTGAACAAGGACTTAATTCAGAGTGTTATCAAGGTGAGATTTCAACAGTCAATCAAGTATTGCATGTTACTCAGTATAACATTGTGTCCCGCTCTATCCAGTCTGGGCAATAACAAAACCTTATGATACACATTTCCTGTGGTCTCCATAAGCTGTTACACACTGTGCTCTTCTGCCACGGTTACTCCATGCAGACTGTCAGTCCATCTGCAGGCAAAGAGAGCCCAGTCTGGAAAATGATTGAACATCTTCAGAAGGGGATGTCATGGCACTGGACCAAGCCCTTCCTTATGTTTGAGACCCGCTACATCCAAGCCACCTCCCTCGGTCTCCCACTGGAAATCAGCAAATATTATAACACAGTAACAACCATTACTGTCAATGGTAAACATTGAATACCAGGGCCCTTTGAATTCCAAAGCAGAATAGAGTTTAAAAATATAAATAATCAATAAAACGCAAACATTTTCTCTTATGTAGCTAAGGCTGCAATCAGCCCACCCCTGACTGATCGCCTGGGACAACTGTTGACCTCAGATGTTTCACTAGTGACTGATGGATTTGCTGGGTAAAATATTTATTTATGTTTTGGTAGCAGGGGCAGTCAAACTCCTTGCATATTTGTATGTTTCTTGTAAAGGATAGTGAGAAAGAGAGATAGTGGGTCGCTTGCAAGAGAGATAGTGGGTCGCTTGCAGCACTACCAAGTAAGTGTGATCTAGAGGCACTGAGGCAGCGACTTAAACAGCTGGACCACCCCAGGCCACATCAAGTATTTATTTAATGGACAACCATGTACAGTATTTTACATCATATTATGAGAAGAACAAGACTATGAGGAACCCTCCCATATCAGTGGCTTCATATTACAGAATGTCTTCATGGCTCAATTATTATTTAATGCTAACATAACTGATTGTATTCTATATGTAATTTTATTGCAGTTTCTCAAAGGACCAATTTGTCTTCCATGGGATAAACACAGACATTTTCCAGTGTGGTGCGGAACTGAAGAGTAAAACAGTAGTTGCCATGCCATGGGAATTCAGCATGAAAATGAACATCAAACAAAATACATTTGAACTTGACCTTCCTCCTTGCAAAAAGGAGACTAAGCTATTCTCAGTCAAGTATGTTTCTCACATTTCCTTACACCTGTCGAAAAAATATTTTAAGTGTCGATGGATAGTAACTTAACAGATGCTACTTTTCTTTTTGTTACAATAGGTTTGATGTATATGCGGTCTCAAGGAATATTGAGGAACCATCATTTGCTAAAATGAACCCAATGATGCCTGACTCTATTGAGTCTAATGAGGATATAGAGCCACCTAAGCAAAGACATTTGACTTCTGGACGAAAGGTACAATCACCCTCCATTGCAAAGAATATTACATGTAACGTAAGAGAGATGTGTGCATGCCTAATATGCTTTCTTTTTTGTCAAATAGATTGTAAAATTTGACATTTACCATCCACAAGTAAAAGTGTGTGCAGAGGCTAACATCTATGGGGCAGCTTTCTGTGTTGAGTCTGAGGCAACGAGATCACACTACATTGAAGAATACCCCCTTTACTACTTATTGGGATACACCAACTTTGCATATACAATTAAACCAGGTAACAGCATCTACAAGTATACAGTACAATATAGACAAAATATGCTTTTTCCTTGTACATTGTTTTGGACTGTCATTTATTGAGCCTTATTGGATGTGCCAGGGATTGGTCTAGCGGTAGTGCTGCCGACCCTGGACTGTACATCAGCCCAGTGGCAGGGTTCAGTCCTTGCTTACACCTTACTTAACTTTACCTATTCTATACTTCCCTCTAATCTATCTTCCCCTTTCATTCTTTCACAAGAAAGCACCACAATTTGAAAGGGAAATAAAATTCCATAAAATAAACCAAGCCTTTAGATTTCATACATGTAACATGCGTGATTATGAAATGTAATTCCTCTCTTTCATTATCAGTCCAGTCCAACAAACCTGTTGACAGGATTCACATTGAGATGAACGCCAGCCCAACCAAGTACCCAGTTAGTGTCCGCCAACTGCTTGACACCCTGCGGAGGCATTCCAAGGTACTTGGTCATGGTTGTACTGTCATCATCTGCACACATGCATTGCTAAGTTCATACAGTATGTGACCATTTCTACTCTGTTTTTGTGTCTGCAGGACGCAACCAAGCATTTCGATCTCTCCTCTGATTCCTCAAGCAGCAGAATGTCTCGTCACGCAAGCTTCAAAGCCAAAGAAGCTTCTGCTTCTGAGGTAGAGCTATGGCTGAAGTGCACCATTGACTAGTGTACCTTTTTGTTGTGGTTGTTGTTTTTTGTTGTTGTTTTAAGGGGGCGGGGTATATTCATATCAATCAATATGCAAAGACTGACTGCATTCTTTCGGATATGGCGAAGGTACTATGTATTTCACTCTGAAACCTAGTTGTGTATACAAAACAGTGATGGCAGTATAAGGACTTTTGCGCCTTCTTGTACTCCTCCTCAGGCTTGGAATGCCACTCCTGAACCATTGTTCACCATCAAGGCTCTGGCCATGAGTGGCAACACGAAGCCAGAGGGTTACGAAGCAGCTGCTTACTACACCCCTGCTGCCCAGATGGACAACACCCAGCTGATTGTGTCTCAGGTTGGGGAGGAGGCCAACTGGAAGTTGTGCACAGATGCCAATGTGGATAAGGTCCGGCAGGAAGAGCTAAAGGTAATATACAGTACACTCTTAGAAAAAAAGGTGCTATCTAGAACCTAAAAAGGTTATTCGGCTGTCCCCATATGAGAACCCTTTGAAGAACCATTTTTTGGTTCCAGGTAGAACTCTTTTGGGTTCCATGTAGAACCCTTTCCCCAGAAGGTTCTACATGGAACCCAAAAGGGTTCTACCTAGAATCAAAAAGGGTTCTACCTGGAACCAAAAAGGCTTCTCGTATCAGGACAGCCGAAGAACCCTTTTGGAACCCTTTTTTCTAATAGTGTAGATATCTCTAACTAGGGATAGGAGAAACAGGACTTGTTATTCAATGTGATGGCTTCATACGTGTTCTCTTTTGCATGTTAGATGCACCTAAGATGGGGAGCTGAGTGTCAGTCATATGAGATGTCTATGAGAACTGCCACTGCACATCTGCCCGGGTCCAAACCCACACTGAAGGCAAAGATTCACTGGAAGACTGTTTCAGTGTACATGACAGAGGTTGGTAAAAGGTGAGACAAGCACACATTCAGTACACTGAAAATTATATTCAGTTTCCCAATCCTACTGTAATCAGAGACATGTATTAGCAGGTCGTGTGACTATTCACATTATACATAAATGCTATTGGTTCCTTAATGAAAAACGGTGAACTTCATTTTTATGCTGATGACACTGTGCTGTACTGACTCCTCTGTGAACCAGGCTATAGCCGATCTGCAGACTGCATGTAATGTCATACAAAAAGCACTTGTTGACATTAAACTGGTACTGAATTTAGAAAAAAGTTGTTTTCTAGAGAGCCCACAACATTGACTTCACTGATTTAACCCTTTGGACCCCAATATAATTCTAGAAGGCTGCTGTAGATTACTGAGGATTTTCAAGATGAAGCTAATTTTCTCACAAATTTCAAACAAACAGACATAGCTCAAGAACAAAAAACAAATGACAATTACAATTTAACTTAGTTTTAATATGACACCACATTCATGTCAATAGGAATAACACTAATTGTTGTCTCCCATTGTGTAAAGACACTATCAAAAAACAATTAACACTCAACACAACTAAAAACTCTAGAGTTTTTAAATTGTTGTAAATTTCACCAAATTATTTCAAAACCCACACAAAGTAGGCTATTGGATTGGCAAAGATTCTTACTTCTGTTACAATGTAAAAATACAAACAACTATTCAGAGACTATTTCAAAATGTAGATAACCTTTCTCAATACAATTTAGAACAGACCAGGCCTGACACAAAATGTAGAAATAGTACTTTGACAACAATTTAGTGAATGCAACAAGTATCAGATAGAGAAAGATTCAGAGAGAAAAAAATCTAATATACCAAGTATTAGATAGAGACAGATACAGAGAGAAGATAAAAAACACAACTGTTCAGAGACTATTTTAAAACATCCACAATGTGCCTATAAGATTTGTAGGGCACATTAATGTGTCACACTGTCACTTGAGTGTTTGCATGTAGCCTACAACATGTCATGGAAGTTGTTGAAGCATGGCCCCATCCTACAAAGTGACACAGAACATGTAGACCACCCAAAGGAGGTTTCAACACATCTCCCACTCTTTGTTCTGCGTCCAATCCGGATGCACACAACACACCCTCTCTTGCGCCCTTCAAACTTCACCAAGGAGTGGCCTGCTTTCAAATTATGAGTTACAACTAGGTCCACACTCCCTGGTGCCACACTCTTAGCTCCCCGCTTCCTGCCACCGTAGCTATAGCATTTTGAATGCCTTCAGGGACACGCGCCTGCGGTTTCTGGGAAGGGGCCTTTGCAGGGCCAATGTAAGCATTGATAATAGCGATGTTGAGCATCCCCCAAAACACATACTTCCACCATTTCCTGAACTGGCCGAGACAGTCAACCCCACCTAAAAAAATAATATTAGGGGATGGATCAGCTTTAATATTGCAACTGGATTGTGGCTTCTAACATTGTAATTGTCTGCATCATTTCCAATCCCCCATATATGTTTTTTTGAATATATATATTATTTTAAATATATAAATATATATTATTTTCCCCTAACCCTACCACCCCTCCCCTAATTGGAGTAAACTGATGTACAACAACACTTAGGCTTCTACTTCCAGCTTATACATACTATATACAGTGCCTTCGGAAATTATTCAGACCCCTTGACTTTTTCCACATTTTGTTACTTTACAGCCTTATTCTAAAATTGATGAAATATTTATTTTTCTAAGCAATGTACACACAATACCCCATAACGACAAATATTTTTGCAAATGTATTACAAATACAAAACAGAAATACCTTATTTACATAAGTATTCAGACCCTTCGCTATGAGACTCGAAATTGAGCTCAGGTGCATCCTGTTTCCATTGATCATCCTTGAGATGTTTCTACAACCCAATGGTGGAGCTCTAGAATTCCTCTGTGGAGATAGGAGAACCTTCCAGAAGGACAACCATCTCTGCAGCACTCCACCAATGAGGCCTTTATGGTAGAGTGGCCAGACGGAAGCCACTCCTCAGTAAAAGGCACATGACAGCCTTCTTCGTTTGCCAAAAGGCACCTAAAGGACTCTCAGACCATGAGAAACAAGATTCTCTGGTCTGATGAAACCAAGATTGAACTCTTTGGCCTGAATGCCAAGCGTCACGTCTAGAGGAAACCTGGCACCATCCCTAAGGTGAAGAATGGTGGTGGGAGCATCATGCTGTAGGGATGTTTTTTAGCGACAGGGAGACTAGTCAGAATTGAGACAAAGATGAACGGAGCAAAGTACCGAGATCCTTGATGAAAACCTGCTCCATAGCGCTCAGGACCTCAAACTGGGGCGAAGGTTCACCTTCCAACAGGACAACGACCCTAAGCACACAGCCTAGACAACGCAGGAGTGGCTTCGGGACAAGTCTCAGCCAGAGCCCGGACTTTAACCCGATCAAACATCTCTGGAGAGACCTGAAAATAGCTGTGCAGCAACGCACCCCATCCAACCTGAGAGAGCTTGAGAGGATCTGCAAAGTGGAATGGGAGAAACTCCCCAAAAACAGATGTGCCAAGATAGTAGCGTCATTGCCAAGAAGACTCGCGGCTGTAACCGCTGCCAAAGGTGCTTCAACAAAGTACTCAGTAAAGGGTCTGAATACTTATGTAAATGTCAAATTTCCGATTTTTTTTTTTTATACATTTGCACAAATAAAAAATAAAAAACTGTTTTTGCTTTGTCATTATGGGGTATTGTGTGTAGATTGATGAGGGGGGATTTTTATTTTTTTAATCAATTTTAGAATAAGGCTATAATGTAAATTAATTGGAAAAAGTCAAGGGGTCTGAGTACTTTCCAAATGCACTGTACATTTTATGGACACAGTATATTTTACATTAGTTATCTTTTGTTTGTTTTTAGTCCTATCTTTCAGCAACCCTCAACCCCTCCCATCTATCTCAAAACACCATCATTTATTATTTCTATTTGCCATACAGTACCAGTCATAAGATTGTACACACCTACTAATTCCAGGGTTTTTCTTTATTTTTACTATTTTCTACATAGTGAAGACATCAAAACTATGAAATAACACAGTAACCAAAAAAGTGTTAAACACATCAAAATATATTTTATATTTGAGATTCTTCAAAGTAGCCAGCCTTTGCCTTGATGACCGCTTTGCACACTCTTGGCTTTCTCTCAACCAGCTTCATGAGGTAGTCACCTGGAATGGATTTCAATTAACAGGTGTGCCTTGTTAAAAGTTAATTTGTTAATGCATTTGAGCCAATCAGTTGTGTTGTGATGGTAGGTATGGGTGGTATACAGAAGATAGCCCTATTTGGTAAAATACCAAGTACATATTATGGCAAGAACAGCTCAAATAAGCAAAGAGAAACAACAGTCCATCATTACTTTAAGACATGAAGGTCAGTCAATACGGAACATTTCAAGAACTTTGAAAGTTTCTTCAAGTACAGTCGTAAAAACCATCAAGCGCTATGATGAAACTGGCTCTCATGAGGTCCGCCACAGGAAAGGAAGACCCAGAGTTACCTCTGCTGCAGAGGATAAGTTCATTAGAGTTAACTGTACGTCAGATTGCAGCCCAAATAAATGCTTCAGAGTTCAAGTAACAGACACATCTCAACATCAACTGTTCAGAGGAGACTGCGTGAATCAGGCCTTCATGATCGAATTGCTGCAAAGACACCACTACTAAAGGACACCAATAAGAAGAAGAGACTTGTTTGGGCCAAGAAACACAAGCAATGGACATTAGACCGGTGGAAATCTGTCCTTTGGTCTGATGAGTCCAAATTTGAGATTTTTGGTTCCAACCTCTCTGTCTTTGTGAGGTGCAGAGTAGGTGAACGGATGATCTCCGCATGTGTGGTTCCCACCATGAAGCATGGAGGAGGAGGTGTGATGGTGTGGGGGTGCTTTGCTGGTGACACTGTCTGTGATTGATTTAGAATTCAAGGCACACTTAACCAGCATGGCTACCACAACATTCTGCAGCGATACGTCATCCCATCTGGTTTGCACTTAGTGGGACTATGACCCAACACACCTCCAGGCTGGGAGCATGATAAAGTGCTGCATCAGATGACCTGGCCTCCACAATCACCCAACCTCAACCCAACTTAGATGGTTTGGGATGAGTTGAAAAACAGCCAACAAGTGCTCAGCGGCACACAATTGGCCCAGCTTCGTCCGGGTTTGGCCGGTGTAGGCCATCATTGTAAATAGGAATTTGTTCTTAACTGACTTGCCTAGTTAAATAAAGGTAAAAATAAAAATATAAAAATATGTTGGAACTCATTCAAGACTGTTGGAAAAGCATTCCAGGTAAAGCTGGTTGAGGGAATGCCAAGAGTGTGCAAAGCTGTCAAAGGCACAGGGTGGCTACTTTGAAGAATCTAAAATATAAAATACATTTAGATTTGTTTAACACTTTTTTGGTGACTACATGATTCCATGTGTTATTTCATAGTTTTGACGTCTTCACTATTATTCTACAATGTAGAAAATAGTACAAACAAAGAAAAACTCATGAATGAATAGGTGTGTCCAAACTTTTGACTGGTACTGTATATTTTTCAACTGTGTTGTGATGTTTCACTAAAGTTCGGAACCTTTCTATTCTCATAGTTTCTACAGGTTGTAAATGAAAGATAAACATTTTTGCTATTTTTGCTATTTTTTTTTTGCTATTATATTATTGATCGATTGACTATGACTTTCCAGATCACCCAGCAGTGCTATTTGCAGAGTTAATTGCAGGAAAACGTTGCAATTCTTCAGCCATTCCTTAACCTGCAACCAAAAATAAGCTACATATGGACAGTAGAAAAACAAATGATCTAATGATTTGTATTGGTATTTGTATTTATTAGGGATCCCCATTAGCTGCTGCCAAACACATTAAGGCACTTACATTACATATAAAACAAAAGATAAAACAGTGCATCATATAACATTATGACAGCACTACATATCTACAATACAAAATG